ACTGCTAGTGCTGGACTAACCAGTCTCAATTGTCTCTCCAGTGTTGTCCAAGCTGGTAGTCTGGGGTTTTAATTCTGATCTTGGAAGGCCATCAACACCCGAGCCACTCTGTGGTGTGTTGCTTACTGCGACCCTGGGGAGCTTTGCCATTCCTGTTGACTTCCCGGTGCTCAATGTCTCGCCAGCAGTGTCCTCGATGGTTGGTGGTACGGTTCTAGATGTGGCGCTCCGTTTCCGTCGCTTGAGGCTCTCGGATGCTGTTGCATTCATGCCGCGTGTCTGCCTCTCGGATTGCTCGGCAGGTTTCGTACCATTGCTTCCCCGACCAGCTTGAACTTGACTTTCATCTTCTGGCTTGGGTATAACAACTGCAAAGTGCGTAGCCGTATGACCCGCTGTCTCAGGCTCCGGTAGATCTTGTGACTCTGGGACTCCCGCAGTTTCAAGCGCTTTTGCTGCCAGCTCAGCGATGTTGAATCCGATGCCAGTCGTGAGTGAAGGGCTCGCCTGCTGCGAGGAAACCGAATTGTGACGATTTCCAGCGTGCTCTCGGTCATGGTCTACAGCACGACTGGATCTACTGACATTGCTACCACTACTGGTCTCAGTGCCCCCAGCAGCTGTTTGCAAAACTTCTGCGTACTTTGATTAGCAGTGTCATGGTATATGCTGCTACCGTTGACCTACCAGTGCGAGGTCCGTTCTTGATTTCGTCTGAGGGGCCAACTGGCGACTGGGGCGATGCTGCGGGATCACGGCCAGAGGGGGCATGGTTGGGGTTTCGAACGGCCGAGCTATCTGCTCCAAAGGTGGTTTCGACTCGGGCCATGGTAATCAGTTGTGATCAAAGAGAGGTAGAGACAAATTGAATGAAGAGTGAGATTACGATGAGGCAGGAAGTGGCAGCTGCTGCCCTTTTATAGTTTCGTCACTCTCACTACGACGCATCTGCAAGGAGCACGTGAGAGCAAGGCACTCGAGGGCCTCCCACTGAGAAATCTGACTGCAGCCGTCGCAATAACCTAGTGAAGAACGCCCTGTAGCCTGCAGACGATATTGGATGACACTGCGTGATACATCGATAAGACAGAGAGGCGGAAGTAATCGTACCCGGCGCATGCAGCCTGGTGAATGACACATCGTAGCTTGTAGGCGAAATTGGATTCGTTTGAAAGGGGATGGCCGGCAGAAGGTGCACATAGAGCCGAGCTGTGATATATTCGGCACCCAAAGCTTGTCTTTGACTCAATCAACCCTGCCGGTATTAGGAACACATGATCTCTTGGGGTATCCGAAGTGCCCGTCAGCCCAGGAAACGTGAGTCACGGCGTGCAGTATCGCGAGATTCGTGACGTAGCGGTCCAGGACATCATGATGTGCAAACTTGAAAGCCTGCTCCCTCGGCTAGACGAGGGTCCATTGCCTAGATCGTGGTGGATGCATGGAGTTGCTGCATCAGAGATGAGGTGTACGGATAGCGTGTCGCAGTCTGTAACTCTGTCGCTTTCCTTCGCTTGGCTCTGTCCCCTACGGGCAATATACGCCGCATTCGTCATATATTGCTTGTTGTGTGTGTGTGCATGTATTACATCTGTCATGCCTGTGTGCCTTGTATCCACGACGCCAACCC